TCCTAGAATTTATTTATCACCGGAAACTACTTTCTGAAAACCGAGTCTTGAGTTTTTTTCTGTTTGTTGTATTCTGAAAAGGAAAACTTGGTGATGATTTCAATAGAAAGATCTTTAATATCTTCTATGGAGGTAAATCCACCTAAAAAATCATCATTATCTCCTTCATTTTCCATTTTATTCTCCTTATTTTCTTTAGATTTCTCATACTATTTATAATCAGAATCTGTGATGTGTGGGAGATAAAAAAATGGATAGTTATCACAATAAGAGATCACTCAAAATCCTATATGAATCTAAACTTTATAAATGATACTCAAATTTAAATGTATTCATAATATTAATATAAAAAAATTAAATTGGCTTACGTTTGAAGATAACTATAACCTCCGAACCATTTTATGTTTGACATGTGACACATATTAAAACTGTCTTAGTTTCAATATTCTCATATATGTTACAGTAAATTTTAATAGTGATATATATAATATTATTTATTGTAATGCGATTTTTAGAATAATAATTGTATCTAGTTTTAGTTTCATAATTACTTTTTTGTAAGATTTTCTTTTGTTTAAAAGAGCTGTCATTCATTCTAATTTTTTTTTAAGATGCAAATTTATTCTAGTTTGATATAAAAATAAAAAATACAACAAAAGAAAAACCTCGCAGTCCAGAAAATACAAATATCTATCATAACTTTATATTTGAATTGATGTATGTATATTATATTTGAATTGATGTATGTATATTATATCATAACTTCTGTGAACATGTCAATATTTGAAATTATATTTTCATATTGAAATAAAAAAAATCTTTAACATATAACCAAGAAAATAAGTAATTATAAATTTACAATTTTAAAATAGTAATGATTATATTTTCTTCTTTGCATTGATGTATGTATATTATATTGTTGGAAACAAACAGGAAGCAAGATATGTTCTTGTTTAAATCAACTTTCAAAAATATTTTGATACTCAGTAATATGTTATATATTTACTAGTGGTTCAAGATTTTATTTTGAATTTAATATCTATAATAAAATAATGAAAATATAATTTTATTTTTAATTTCTTCTCAATATATCAGTTCAATGTTCATTGACACGTCTCTAGAAATCATATTTCAAAAATATTTCAAGTGAAAAAGTTACAAAATTCAAAAAGGGATCAATCAAAATCTGAAACATATATAAATCTCTATCATTTATCTTTATTTATATATGTATTTTTAAAAAAATGCATACATAAAGATATCAATAATTTTAAGAGAATGTGTAGATTAGTTAATTGGTTTATTCTGAAATGCCAAACTTGACGATGATTTCAAGAGAAGGATCTTTAATATCTCGATTGGGTTCCATCCACCTAAAAAAATCATCATTATCTGCTTCATTTTCTATTTTCTTCTCCTTATTTTTTGTTTTGTTTGTTTAGATTTCTCATTGTATCTGTAATCAGAATTTTGTTATGTGTGGGAGATAAAAAAATGGATCGTTACCACAATAAGAGATCACTCAAAATCCTGAAAGAATTTAAACTTTATTATCACTAGATCATTTCTCCGCGCTACGCGCGGATTATGTGCTTTTAATATTTTATTCCTTTCAAATATTTTGTATTATTATGTCCATTGAATTGTTTGAGTTTATATCTAATTTAATAAACTCTATGTACTTTTATAAATTTATTATTGATAAAATTCTTGAAAATACATCAACTAAATATCATTAAGGTTTTTAATACCTAAAATTTTTTGTTATCCAATTTCATACCTAAATTAATTATTTATTCATTTTAATACATGACTTAATTTCAAAAATGTACTAATTTTAATACCCAAATTATTTATAAGTTCGAATGAAAATTTAAAAAATCTTCAAACTGATCAGAATAAATCTTAAAATTTCTATTTTTATTTTAATTTATAGGAATAAAATATCTAAACTGTGGATAATATTTAAAACTACAGTATTAGTTGTAGTTTACATTTCAATTTTAGTTTTCTTTCTGAAGCTTAAAATTAATTAATTTATTTATTATAATAATTTATAAGTTTTATTATTTTATCCACAACTTAGTTACTTTATTCCTAAACTTGAAATTAAATTTGCAAATTTTCAGATTTATTTTTATTTCAAAGTTTTTTAAATTTTTGTTTGGAATTTATTTTAAATTTTGATTAAAATGAGCATAGGTTGGGTAGTAAAATGGGCACATATATTAGAATGAGCAAAATAATTAGTTGAAATATTAAACCGATATCAAATAATTTTGGGTATTAAAATGAGAAAAATTAGTTAAAATAGTTTTATAATCTTTTATCTTTATTATTTGGAATATTTTTTTTTTTTATCTTTTGCCACTTATTTTATGTTATTTTCAAATAGGATTAAGAATTGAACTCTAGAAATGACCATAGCTAACGCACCAAAGGATGAGAAACACATGTTCTTCTTTTTTACCATGTACTCTGCATATTTAGTATTTGGTGTAATGGTAAGTTTTTTTATTAAATAGTTATTGAATTATACATTTTCAAATTAGAACTTTTTTAAATAATTTTTTTTTCCAAATTTTATTTATTTCAATTTTTTTATTTTTCGATTTTTTTTTTTAAATTTTCATTTTCAAATTCAATTTTTTTTAAAAAAACTATCTGTAATATTTTTTTAAAAACATAAGTAACCGGACGCTTGTGGTCTGGTGGAAAAGAACTCACATCTTTTACATAGATTCAAATCTGGGCCACGTCGATTAAAATGGGGGTGAAGCCCTTGAAGCTACCTACCAGGACTCTTAGTTTCTTGGTTGTGTTCTATATTGGAACACTGTTTTACAATCATAAAGTCATCGAATCAGACAATATAGCGAAAGATTTGGTGGGAGTCCTAATTTCTGCGTTTAAAACCGAAAGCTCATTGTCTTAGTTACCTTATGGAGCTTTATGAATTTGAGTCATATTATTTCAAAAGTACTGGTAAACATCAAGTTCATCACACTCACATATTCAAGTCAGTGTTGCATATCATCTCATCAATGAATTTAATTATATTACAAATTTTTACTTTTTTTTGCCAAGTACAAATGATTACTTTCTCTTTTAAAAATTTGGGTAAAACTAAAAAATAAAAATGTAAATCAACTTGTAACTCTTAGATATTTTAAAAAAAATATTATTTATGAAAAAAATCTAAAGAAAAACATAAAGGGATGCTCTCAAGATATTATGCCGTTTGTAAACTCATTTCCTCAGTCATAGAAGATTTGTCCGGCTTGCACGCAGCTTCTAATCGTCAGTTTTTCTCAGCTCCAAATTTTTCATCGTGTAACGTCTGTTTTTCAAACTTCGTTTTAATTCTCAGTAAAATCTGACCCACAACCCCTCCATTTTACTGAAAGAAACAAACTGGAACAGTATGAACATTTTTTAATTTGTATACTCTGGTAAGCAAGAGATTAACTTCAGTAGCTTTCAGAAAATGAAAATGAATGACCTCAGACAAAATAGCAACGGTTAAGTAAAAGAGGTAGTAAAATAAAATGAAACTCAAAATAGGATATTTGGTTGTTCAAACTTACATCCACCTTTATCGATTTATAATTGTATATATAATGATTATGCACTGTCTTTCTAAATTTTACTTGATACATGAGAATTTGACGAAAAAAATTGTTAATAACAAATTCTTTCATTATCTTTATTCTTTGCCACTTTATCAAATCCGATAATTTTGAAACTTGATGCATATACTTTCATTTTATTTAACGTTCTTCATTTGATTTTATAAATGTTTAAACCGAGATACAATATGGTCTTTGACTAATGGTGATGAAATTTTACTTGACATTGATCACATTCAATATATTTTAACATTTACAATGAATAGAATTGGTATAGATGTTAAACATTGTAAGATTCAGTAGAATATCATATTCAAAACGAAATTAAATATTAAATAAATAATCAATTGTCAAATGAAATATAATATATTAACTGTGATATAAGACCAATGCCATCTAGATAAGAAACTGTATGATGTTTTATCTTTGTGACACTAAAAAAATATCGGAATTAGTAGCACACCAAAAATATTGATAGATCCCCTGTCTGTCATAGAGTTTTCGTATGAGCTATGATAAATCGATATATTGTAGCATTAATAATCCACTATAGAAAACTTTTTATACCATTTGATCTGTGTTATGATCTATTTTTTCATGATTTATTTCTAGTGCTGTAAAATATATATTATAACTGGCTACTATTGATTTAATCAAAAATCCAATTATTAATTAAAAATAAAATAAAAATTAATTAATATTTAAAAATTAAATAAATAAAAAACTAATTAAACACACATTAAATCTAAAGGTTGCCTTCCTCAAGCCATTTGTGCCTACATTGTCTTCCACGACATCAGCCATAAAGGTCATGTTCTCTTTGCTGTACTACCACCACTGGAACTGCCACCAAACCACCTTGCACCACCGCTGCGTAGACCATGCCTTGCCTACTCCAACTTTAAACTTCTGCTGCACCATCCACTTTTCTTACACTGTACAAAAACTAAAACTAAAATCTAATATACAAATACAAAAAGACACAACCGTACTTGTGAATAATATATCCCATCTTTGTGCTCTGGATTTGCCATTTACGAAATCTTCCAAGATCCGACCTGGTTCCTTCAACTCGCAGGATGATGGAGAAGAAAGATTATGATATTTGAGAAACACAAAACAGGAGAAAAGATCAGAAATTATAAGAGAAAAAGAGAAGAACTAATCTATGGCAGGGAGAAAAAGAGAAAGAAAAGATCAACAAACCAGAATTTTTTTTATAAAAAGAGGGAGACGGAGAGTCATGAGACCATCAGGACCTGGTCTACTGACAACGCTATCATCAACATAAAGCCTATGAGCTTCATGAGCAACATAAGCAGGACTTCCTGACAATCCAGATAGGAAGAAGGTTGAGAAGAATATGTTTTTTTAGTCGTAACCGCGATGCCAGAAAACTTCATGAGCAATAGCTGCAGCTTCATGAACAACATAAGTTTCATATTAAGGAGAAGTTTAACTACAGCTCTGACCAGGACGACATAACCCCTGCTCGTTTCTTAGCCGCAGCATCAGCGGGGAGCGATCAATTAATATCAAAAGACACGTCAGTAGCACTTTAAATTGCAGCGCCGGTGAAACTACTTTTTCGTCGCAGCGGCAAGACACAATAACTAAATCCGACGCCGAAAATATCAGCGTCAGCAGCGTCTCCTTTTTCAGTAGCTGCGGAAAAGCTACAATGATCAAATTCACTTTTGAAATCATTCAACTTGTCTCCGTCGAAGAGTTATTCTTTGCCGCTACCGCTAGTCGCAGCGGCTAAGAAACGAACAGGGGTATATACGTTTTTTCTCTAGCGTTATCACCATTATATCCTTTAAGCCCTTCAGTGTGAGTGTCTTACTGGCCAATGATGTCAAACCTGCACACAATCACAGAAGAATCAAACTTTAAAACTCAAAATCAGCTATGTTTTATCTTGTTAAACACTCTCTGTTGGATGACTTACAGATCTAGCTTTTGCTTTTATCTGAGCAGTAGCTTTTACTTCTTCACCAATCACAAGACAAAAAAACGAAAAACAAAGAAATTTTTTATCAGATAATGTCTTGAAGAAACTTTTTATCAGATAATGTCTTGAGTGACAAAGAAACTAAGACTTGTCTAGGTTTCTAATTCCTTACTTGGTGATTCTTGTTCACGTAACTTCTGATTCTTATCGCAAGAATCATAGTAAGATCTGAAATTACCTTGATATCCTTGTTCAAGACGATCCCAAACTACAAATAATACTGAAAGTCTGAAATGTTTTGCCTCAAGAGCCATTAAATGTTCTCTGAAAAGGAACTGACTTACCTGTGTTGGTCGATTCAGGTGTGATTCCAAACTGTTCCAGTAGATGTTTTACAGTCTCTTCCTTGCTCTTGTAATCTTGCATGCACTCCATGATTCTGCCATGAACCTGAAACAAAGCGGAGAAAAAGAAAAAGAGATTAAGAGACTATAATTAACGTCTAATTAATTAATGAAATGAAATGATTGAATCCTTACGTAATATGAGAACTCCTCCACGCTCTTAAAACCTCTAGGGACCAAGGCAGATTCTTGAGGTTCTTGTGATGTTACAGCAACCTCATCATCTCTCCATATGCTACAGCGACGTTTTTATTATTTCTTTCTTTTATCCCTGAACAAATGGGCTAAACATACAAACAATAAAAAACAAAGCAAAACAAATAAAAGTCCATTCTGTTTTTGAATATTTATGCTTACCTGACACTCTCTCCATTGAGAGTATTGTACTTTTAATATAGTACTGATATGTAAGTTACAGCCAATTTTAGTAGTGATATGTATTAATATTATTTATAGTTATGAGATTTTTGGATTAATAATTGTATCTAGTTTTAGTTTCTTAAATACTTTTTATAAGATTTTGTTTGTTTAAAAGAGATGTCATTCATTCTAATATTTTTTTAGATGCAAATTTAATTTTAGTACAAATATCTATTCTATTTTAATATAAAAATATAAATACAAAAATATAGCAAAAAAAAAATCTCACAGTCCAGAATATACAAACATCTATCATAAACTTATATTTAAGAAACTCTTCTTAACCAAGAAATAAAGTTATATGTTGTAAATTTATTCTCAATATATCAGTTCAATGTTCTTTTGCGTATATAGTTTGAATAAAGTTTTATCATATACCAAGAATGTTTTTTTTTGAAAAAATACCAAGAAATTAAGTAATTATAAATTTACTATTTTAAATTACTAATGATTATATATTCTTATTTGCATTAATGTATGTATATTATGTTGATACTCAGTTATATGTTGTAAATTTACTAGTGGCTCAAGTTTTATTTTAAATTTAATATATATATATGTATATATATAAAATAATAAAAATAGTGACCTACATATTATATTCTCTCTCTCTCTCTCTCTCTCTCTCTCTCTCTCAAATAGAAAAATCATTAGTTTCAAAGTTAAATAGATTGGGCCAACAATATTTTGATTTCCAAGAAAAAGTATTCCAATCATATACCCGAAAGAACATTGAACTCATATATTGTTTAAAATTTTCAAAAAAATATTTATTATTTTAGAATATTAAGTTTGAAATAAAATCTTGAACGATTAGTATATTTACAACATATAGCTGAGTATCAAAATGTATTTGAAAGTTGATTAAACAAGAACACAACTTCCTTTCTTTTTGTTTCTACAACATAATATACATACATTAAAGCAAAGAAGACTATTTAATCATTAGTATGCTAAAATAGTAAATTAATGATTACTTATATTCTTGGTTATATGATAAAAAACAATTTATTCCGAAGAAAATATTAATTTCAAAATATTGTTATTTCTATATGGATGATAAAGGAAATCATTAACATGTTAAGATGTGTTTTTCAAATATATATTTATTATAGAAATTTGTAACTGTGAGATTTTTGTTTTTGTATTTTTTTTCATTTTTATATTTATATTAAACTAGAATAGATATTGTACCAAAATTAAATTTGCATCTTAAAAAATATTAGAATGAATGACCTCTTTTTAAACAAGCAAATTCTTACAAAAAAGTAAGTAAAATTTTAAAACTAGATACAAATATTAATCTAAAAATCTCATTACAATAAACTATAATAATATATATCACTATCAAAATTGACTGTAACATATATTACAATATTGAAACTTAGATATTTTCCATATGAGCCACATGTCAAACATAAAATGGTTTGGAAGTGACAATTATGTTTAAACGTAAGCCAATTTAAATTTTTATATTAATATTACAAATACAGTTAAATTTGATTATCATTTATAAAATTTAGATTCTTTTAGGATTTTGAGTGATCTCTTATTGTAATAACTATCCATTTTTTTTTTATCTCTCAGACGTCACAGATTCTTCCCTCGAAGTCATCGTCAAGTTTGCCCTCGAAGTATCAATTTTCAGACAATAGATTCTGGTGATAAACAAATTGTAGGAGGCATGAACTACTGATTAGTGTTGAATGTAAATGATGGATGCAAAGAAGGCATTAGATCTACGAGGTAGAAGTATTCAAACAAGCTTGGCATGCTTATCGAAAACTCATTTACATGAAAGCAATTAATTAGTCAACGCATTCTTTATGTATGAAATTAAAAATAAGTAAGTAAATAAATAAATGATAGAGCTTTATATATGTTTCAGATTTTCATTGGTCCCTTAGACTATTATCTGTAAAGAGCAAATGGGAGATTGGTAGAAAGACCCTTGCAACCTTCAGATCAGTTCATTGTTTCTCTCATTACGCTTTTTTAATATTAGCTATTAAAACATCTGTACACATAATGAATAAATATATATATACACTACACATTGTGGTGGTTAAAAGAACAGAAGGTTGTGTTGATTATAACATTCCTTGCATTAATATATGAAGTACATCACTTTACACATGATGAAAAAATCTCTATGAAAGGATATCGTAAAGGATGATTTAACTCTTATGGTTAATCAATTCCTATTCCAAGGGACGCTACCTACTGGTTTAAATGATACAAATATATGCCTTATCCCAAAAGTAGAGAAGCCAAACCAGATGAGCCAGCTACGACCTATTAGCCTTTGTAATGTTAGTTACAAGATTATCTCCAAGGTCTTATGCCAGAGATTAAAAAAGGTCATACCAGATAGGATTTCAGAATCCAGTCAGCCTTTGTTGCTGGGAGACAGATATCTGATAACATAATGATAGCCCAGTAGATGTTCCATCCCTTAAGGATAAAACCGAGTGGACGCAATAAGAGGATGGCTATTAAAACAGACATGAGCAAGGCATATGATAGAATGGAATGGTCCTTCATTGAGGCCACCATGAGAAAGATGGGATTCTCAGAAGTCTGGATAACCTGGATTATGCGATGCATAACATCAGTAAAGTACAAGGTCCTCATGAATGGACAGCCAAGAGGGAATATTGTCCCAGAGAGAGGTCTACGGCAGGGGGATCCTCTGTCCCCTTTCATTTTTATTCTGTGCACAGAAGCGCTCGTTAGCCTTCTCAATCACGCAGAGAATCAGGGAAAGATAACGGGGATGCGTATCACGTCTGCGTGTCCTTCGGTATCTCACCTACTCTTTGCTGATGGTAGCCTTTTCTTTTGTAAGGTGGTTCCCCGTGAATGTGAAGAAGTAATGAAATTGATCAGGAAATATGGACAAGCTTCTGGACAATGCATTAATTTTGACAAGTCATTTCTACTTTTTGGTAAGAGAATCGGACAAGCGGCCAGGCAAGAAATCAAAGATACACTTGGGATCCAAAATGAAGCAGGGATGGGGACTTACTTAGGGATTCCAGAAGATATCAGTGGTTCCAAATGTAAGCTTTTTGCCTTCATAAAGGACAAGCTTAGATTTAGAGTAAATGGTTGGACGGGCAGGTGGTTATCAAAAGGTGGAAAGGAAGTAATGATAAAGTCAATCCTGTTAGTTCTCCCAACCTTTGTAATTTCTTGCTTCCTTCTCCCATTGGAGATATGTGATGCCTTGGCTAGTGCCATTGCACAGTTTTGGTGGAGCTCGAACCCACCAAAAAGGGGCTTACACTGGTCAACATGGGACAAGTTATGTTTGTCCAAATAGGAAGGGGGAATTGGCTTCAGGATGATCCACGAGTTTAACCTGGCGCTGCTAGCTAAGCAGCTGTGGAGATTGGCTCAATACCCAGATTCCCTGGTAGCTCGAGTTATGAGAGGTCGGTATTATCGTTTGAATTCGCCTTTGCGAACGCTCTGTCAGTAGCCCATCATATGTGTGGACAAGCATCTCGGCTGCACGAGAATTATTGTTGCTGGGGGTTAGACAGAAAATACATTCAGGCTATAAAGTGAAAGTACGGGAGGACCATTTGATTCTCACAATCCCAGCGAGGCCAGCGTCCTCATCTGCTCCGGTTTTGCATCCGAACATGAGAGTGAGTGATCTTATTAATCAAGAAACAAAGTCTTGGGATTTGGACAAGTTGGTGAATTATGTTGACGTTACTGACATACCTCTTATAAAAAGTATGGAAATTAGCTCAACACATCGTAGAGACACGCATTGCTGGAGTTACACAAGGAGTGGACAGTACACAGTCAAGTCCGGTTATGGGGTCGCTCGAAATATACTGATGAAAGAGGATGATAATATAGTGGGTGAACCTAGTATTACAAAACTCCAAGCACATGTCTGGAAGGTTAAAGCACCCCCGAAGATGTGTCATCTTATGTGGTAGATTATAACAGTCATGTGGCTGTTACGAGTGCTTTGAACCATAGACACATGAGATGTGACAACTTTTGCCCACGATGCGGAGAACCGGAAGAAACAATTTTACATGCAATCTTTCAATGCCCAATGCATACAGGTGTGGGCTTTAGCATCTATACCTACAAACTCAACTCTATTCCCACTGCAGAGCACATATGAGAACATGGATTATCTATTTTGGAGGAAGAAGGCCATAATGGAACCAGAATTAGACAGGGACCCTTATCCTTGGCTAATATGGTACATTTGGAAGGCTCAAAACGATAAGTTGTTCTGAGGAATTGATAGAGATCCTCTGAAACTAGCCCGGTATGCGGAGAGTGAGTGCCTTGCCTGGTTCCAAGCCAATGAGCAGGAAATTGTGCCATCACACGGAAACATAGATGCTGGCAGCCAAGTCACAAGCCTAGGAGATATCTGTATGGTAGACGGTTCTTGTACCTCTAAAGATCAATTTTTAGGTTGTGGTTGAAATTGGAAGGACAGAATGGGAAATAGTCAGTTGATGGGCATGTGTAATGTTAGTAGGGTGGAGTCAGCTTTGCACTCTGAGCTGGAAGCACTGCGGTGGGTAATGTAGAATATGCTTCAACATTCGCCATGTCAGAGCTTTGGGACGGATTGCAAGGATTTGGTAGCGATGCTCACAAACCCCCATGAACGGTCAAGCTTTTAGACGGAACTGGAGAGGCTCTTGATGCTGCGGATTTGCTTCCCAGACATTAAGTTATTTTATGTGCCTAGGTCCTAAAATGATGTGTCCGACTTTTTAGCTAAGACTGCTCGATCCTTTTATCGTGATCTGTTGTATGTTGGTTGTT